CACACACACACACACACACACACACACACACACACACACACACACACGCTAGCTCCTTCCCTCCCTGGTAGCTCCTGGCACTGAGATTCTACCATGATCCAGAGCAGGACAACCCAGGCCAGGTTTTTCTCACAGCCTGTGCAAAGAAGGCAGGGGCTAGCCTAGGGCTTACCTTTCCCAGGTAGGTGAAGAGCACAGCCTCCGGAGACAGCTCCCCGCTGCGTAACTTCTGTCCTAGTTGGGGCAGGGGCAAGGCCAGCAGTGCCTCTGAGTCCAAGTCAGGGTTCTGCGGGGAACATATTCCATCAGTCTTGCACAGGTGACCTTTGCCACTCAGCCCTCAGGAAACAAGCTGATACTGTCCCTTGCTAATATCCCTATAGAAGGTACCACCTGCAGCTCTGACACCAGAAACCAACCTAGGTGGGCTCTTGGTGTCCCAGACCAGTGCAAATGCAAGCTCCAGAAGTCTGCTGGATAGGAAATGATGAGGGACAGGTTATGGCGCCATTAAGACTAGCATCCAACACACCTGCCTATGCCTGCCATGCACAGCGCTGAGTGTTTTATTTGCTTGGTTCCTCACTCCCACTCACGAGGTTATTTATTTTTTATTTTATTTTCTTCTATTTCTGACAGTTTCTTACTATTATACAATGCATCGTGATCATATCCCATTACCTTCTCTTATTCACCCCCACACACACCTGTTGACCTTTCCAACTAGGCCTGTCCCCACTTTCTTCATGGTGTTTCTGTTTGTTGTTGTTGTGTGTGTCCAAATCATGTCCTGATTGTAACAGCCATGTCATACATATCCAGAAGACAATGTTCTATAGTGTCCCTCCCCATCCTTTGGGTATACTTTGTTTTGTCTGAGATAGGTTCTCACTATGTAGACCAGGATAGCCTCAAATTCAGAGATCTGCCTGCCCCTCTCAAGTGCTAGGATTAAAGATTTACTCCACCACACCTGGTTGTATTTGTTTTTTAAGAGGTCTCTGTTATTCTGACCAGGTTAGCCTTGAACTTTCAAGATCTTCCTCCCCTGGCTGCAGCCCCAAGGAGATGGGATCACAAGCTTTTGTTTGGTTTTGGCTTTTGACTTTCAAGACAGGGTTTCTCTATGTAGCCCTGGCTGTCTTAGAACTTGCTTTGTAGACCAGGCTGGCCTAGAATGCAGCGATCCACCTGCCTCTGCCTTTTGAGTGCTGAGATTAAAGGCGTGTGTCACTACCACCACTGGCTAGATTACAGGCTTTTCCACACCAAGCCTATGACCCTCCATGCCTTCATTAACTCTGACTACCATTTCCAATGTTCAGATTTAGAGACTAAAGCTAAGGGAAAGGAAGCGCTTTGTTTAGAATCACAAAGGTAAGGAGTGGGCCTGGAGAGATGGCTCACTGGTGAAGAGTATTTGCCTTTGTGGAGGACCTGGGATTGGCTTACTTGATGGCTCACAACCATCTGTAACTCTAGTTCTAGGAGATCTGATGCCCTCTTTTGACCTCTGTAGGTACCAGGTATGCATGTGGTGCACATACACACCTGTAAGCAAAAACACTCATAGACACAAAATGAAATAAGTCTGGAAGGAAGGAAGGAAGAAAGGAAGGGAGGGAGGGAGGGAGGGAGGGAGGAAGGGAGGAAGGAAGGAAGGAAGGAAGGAAGGAAGGAAGGAAGGAAGGAAGAAAGGCAGGAAGGCAGGAAGGCAGGAAGGAAGGAATACTCTACCAGCCCCTTCTCCCAGCACAGCCATCCACAGCACACAAGCCCTGGCAGGGAAGTGAATCAACAAAAGTCACATTAAAATGCTACATTAGTGGCTGAAGACCACATCCAAAGGGGAATGACTGACACATTTACTTTCAGACAGGTATGAAGTGCCTGCTCTGAACCTGGCCCCACGAGCTTATGAGACGAGGATGAAGCAAGAACGAATAGGTAACTGTGTGGCTTAGCTCTCTGTCAAGCTGCCACAAGCTGAAGCCACCTAAGAAGAGGGGGCCTCAGTGGAGGAATTACCTCCATCGGATTAGCCTGTGGGCATGCCTGTGGGGCATTTTGTTAATTAATGATTGTAGGCAGTGCCACCCCTGGACCGTGGCCCTCAGAAAGCCAGCTGAGCAAGCCATGGAACGCAAACTAGAACACCGTGTCCCCCATGGTCTCTGCTTCAGTTCTTGCCTGGAACTCCTGCCTTGGTTTCCCTCAATGACGGACTATAACCTGGAAGGCAGAATAAAACCTCCAACTTACTTTTGGTCGCACCGCTTATCACCGCAACAGAAAGCAAGCTATCACATCACCAGATATGAACTGTAGATAGTGAGGGACTGAAAGAATAAAACAGGGCGTGGTAGAGAGTGGCACCTGGGCCGAGTGGGGAAAGAATGGCTCTCTGAGGGAGGAGGGCTCGAAGGCACACCCACCTGCCAGACCTCCAAGGCTTCAGGTCCCTGGGGTCAGCTCTGCCTGCAAACACCCTCCTGGGCCCTCCTCAGAATCAGACCAATTAGTGAACACTGAACCACCACCCACCCCACTGCTCAACACATCCTCTATTCCCGCTAAGGTTGCCAGAGAATCGCTTGTTACCAGCTCCAAATACTTTACTGCATCTTCCTTCATGCCTCACGAGGGTCTTCAGAGGTATCAGGCCACATGCCACTCTCTTCAGAGTCTCTTGGATAGAAACACCAGACCCAAGGGTCCGCCCCTGCCCCAGCTACCATCATCTGCTGCTCCCAGTGCTATTCAGTCAGTCAGCCAGCAAACGGGTGCAAAGGACCACGTGAGAGGCCATGCATACGGAAATAAACAAGAACGCAAGGTTCCTGCATTCAAGAAATCAACATCTAGACAAGCAAACAAGACATTGATAGACAGCTTGTGGTAAGGCAAGATGGCAGAGAAACAGTCTTGGTGGAAATGAGGATGCTGCTGTAGATAGATGGACAGTCTACCTGTTGAGGTGACCTTTTAGCCATGACCTGAAGGGTGATTCCTCCAGGTTCCTCTGGTAGTTGTCTTCAACCTTCTGGCTTTCACTCTCTGAGCTCCCATGCCTCCTGATCCTCCACCAAGCTCCACCTAAGACAACTGCACAGCTGAGCACGCAGTGAGTCCTGTCCTTCCTCCCAAGATCACTGTCTCCCACACGTTTGATATGGCTCCACCTCAGTGTGCCCCAGGACCCTCAGACAGACAAGTCCTTTCCAGCTTCATCCTTTCCTCCCCAGACTACTACCCTGCTAAGCTCTTGCCCCTGTGACCCGTCCTTCCTGCTAGATCTATTCAAGGGCAAAGTCCAACCTGGCCTTTCCATTATTTTTTTTTAATATTTATTTATTTATTATGTATACAATATTCTGTCTATGCGTATGCCTGGAGGCCAGCAGAGGGCACCAGACCTCATTACAGATGTGGTTGCCGGGAATTGAACTCAGGTCCTCTGAAGAGCAGGCAATGCTCTTAACCACTGAGCCATCTCTCCAGCCCTGGCCTTTCCTTTAAAATGTCTACCGAGCAGCATTTCAGAGTCAGCGTGAGCTCCTGAAGGTGCTTCCAGCCACGATCTTATCAGACAACCTTTGGATCAACACTACCTCACACTTCCTGGTTCACCCAGACACAGCTCCGCCCAACACCTGCCCTAACCTGGAAACCTTACATTCTTAATGCCAAGGAGCACTTCCCCAAATCTGTTAAATAATGTAACACTTACTTGAGGTTTCTATTCTTTTAATATAACAAGCTACAGAAGAAAAACACAGATTCATGATCTCTTCCCAATACATAACCCTAGTTGAATATATATATATGCATATATGTATGTATGTATATATATCAAAACATCTTGAAAATATCTAGGAGGGTGAAGAGGTAGCTCAGAGGTTAAGAACATATACTGCTCTTACAGAGGACCTGAGTTTGACTTCCAGCATCCATAGCCTGTAACTCTAGAATCCATTGGCCTCTGTGGGTACTGCACTCATATGCATATACACACACATAATTAAAAATAGTGGTAGGAAGGTGGAGACAGGAAGATCCCTGAGTCTCACTAGCCAGCTAATCTTGCTGAATTGGTGATCTCTAGGTTCAAGAAGAGACTCTGTCTCAAAAAATAATGTGGAGAGGAGAAAAAATATCTGACATCCGGCCTCCACACATAGGAACACACATGTATACCACACAGATACACCAATGTATATAAAAAAAATGAGCGTTCACCCACTCTTCCCAGACCCTGTTCTGAAAAGGGGAAGGAAAAGCCCGCACTACGCTATTCATGGTCATTCTCTTCTTTCCCACAAAGCAGCGACGCTATATGAAGCCCTGCTCTTGCCTCTCCCTTCCCACAATGAACACAAACTGCTTCATATTTTTTCCAAGCATGGAGGCTTATGCTTGTAATCCCAGCACTTGGGAGATGGAGGCAGGAGGACTGCCATGAATCTGAGTCCAGCCTGGTCTACATAGTGAGCTACAGGCCAGCCAGAACTATAAAACAATTCTGTCTCAAAGACACAAAACAAGGGGCCGGAGTGATGGCTCAGCAGTTAAGAGCCCTGACTGTCCTTCCAGAAGACCTGGATTTAACTCCTAGCACCCACATGCAGCTCACAGTTGTCTGTGACTCCAGTTCCAGGGGATCTGGCACCCTCACACAGACACACATGCATGCAAAACACCAATGCACATAGAAAGTAAATAAATCTTTTTTTAAAAAAAAACTGTAAAATAAGGGCCTAAGAATATAGCTGTGTTGGTAAAATGCTTTTCTAATGTTCACAAAGTACTGAGTTTGATACCCAGCATAACATAAAAACAGGCATGGTGTGGTGGCACATGCCTTTAATCCCAATGCTTAAGAGACAGAGGGATCTTTGAGTTTGAGGCAAATCTCAAACTCAAACAAAACCTTGAACAAAGCAAGTTCAAGGACGGGCGGGGCTACACAAAGAAACACTCGGCGCTCCCAAAACAAAAGCAAAAACAAAAACAAAAAAACAAAAAACCTGGACATGGTGGAGGTCAGAAGATCAGAAGTTTAAGGTCATCTTTAATATATATAGCAAGTTCAAAGTCAGCCTGGAACACAAGACCCTGTAATACAGTATGTGTTCACTGTTTTGTTTGAGGCAATTATTTCCGGCAGCTAGGCCACCATCTCCTCCCTCCTTGCTAAAGATGCCTGCAAAAATCCCTGCAAATGTCATCTAGAACAATCTTTATGGTGGTCTGAATAGGAATGGCTCCCATAGATTCATAGATTTGAATCCTTGGTTGCCAGGAAGTGGCACTTGTTAGGTGTGGCCTTGTTAGGACAGGTGTGGCTTTGTTGGAGGAAACAGGTCACTGGGGGTGGGCTTTGAGGTTTCAGATGCTCAAGCCAGGTCCAGTGTCTTTCTCTTCCTGCTGCCTGCCGGCCCAGATATAGAACTCTCTGCTCCTTCTCTAGCACCACAAATTCCTGCGCGCCATGCTTCCCACCATGCTGACAATGAACTAAACCTCTGAACCTGCAAGCCAGGCCCAATTAAATGTTTCCTTTATAAGAGTTGCTGTGGCCATAGTGTCTCCTTACAGAAACAGAACATTGACTAAGACAACCCCCATTCTCACGCATATTTCAATTCTTCCCAATGTCTCCACTGTTGACAGTTGATGACACAGTTGCTAACAGCTATCTTTAAATCTTCAGCTAGCGTTAGGCAGTTGAGACATCCTCCTTCCCCCAAATCACTAAAGTCTGCACCCCAAAGCGGCCAGAGGGCCAGGAAATAATCTCAAGATAGCTGTATGGCCACCCAGTGTAGAGACATTTTTCTTTTTCTTTTTTCTTTTTTTTTTTCTTTTCAGTTTTTGGAGACAGGGTTTCTCTGTGTAGCCCTGGATGTCCTGGAACTTGCTCTGTAAACCACGCTGGCTTCGAACTCACAGAGATCCACCTGAAAGGCGTGAGCTGCTACTGCCAAGTGAGACGTTTTTCAAGAGGGAGCTACTGTGCCTCCTGTAAGCACCGCTCCTCTTCTGGCTGCTTCTTTCTCTCCTGAACCATCTATCGTCTTAATTTCCGACTCTTGGGCTGTCTCCTTTTCGCTCATAGATTTTTATCTCTGTTCTATTTCAAGCTCTCTCCTCTATTGGCTCACAAAGACGGCCAAGACATTCTCAATGGTCTAACTGTGCTTTCAATTTATCAGTGGAATCATTTCAAAGAAGAGTGCAAAGGAGGCTTGGAAAGGCCGGGAGACACGATCACAATGGATCCGACTGAAGGGCGAGCATCTGTAGGACCAATGAGCTTTACCAAGAGCACGCATGAGACAGTACATCCAAACACACATGCAAAGACCCTAAGGCAGGAATCACGTCCTTTGAGAATGCATCCAGCCTCAACAGTCTACTGGGGCTGGTTCCTGTCTGCAGCATAGAAACAGTGCAGGAGAGGGGCTGGAGACATGGCTCAACAGCTGTCTTCTCTTCCAGAGGACCTGCATTCAGGTCCCAGTGCCCCACATGGTGTCTTACGACTATCTATAATTATATTTCCAGGGGGGTCTAATACCCTCTCTGGCCTCTGTAGGCACAAGACAAGCATATGGTGCACAAACATACACGTAGGCAAAACATTCATACACATAAAACTTTTATTTTTGAGACAAGGTTTCTCTTTGTAACAGTCCTGACTGTCCTGGAACTTGCTTTGTAGACCAGGGTGGCCTCAAATTCACAGAGATCCACCTGTCTCTGCTCCCCAACTGCTGGAGATTAAAGGTGTGCACTACCACTACCTGGCATAATTTCTTTTTTTAAAGTTTTTAAAAACTTACTCAGGGGCAGTTGAGAGAAATAGGGGAAACACTGATGCTGATAAGCTTCCATCAATCAACAGTAACCAGACATACACCTCTCCCTAGAGTTGCTCCAGAGTCTGGAAAAGTGAACCATTGTGTGAACCTCGGTGACTCAGAGGTGCTCATGCCCTCCTTGCCATCTTGTGTCTACCTTGGCACAAAGTTAACTTTGTGTAGTATCTACCAGAGGGGCTGAACTACTTTGGCCCTTCCAGTACACTTGGTCCTACCTTCCCAGGTGCCCCTTGCTACTCTACCTTCCCAGGTGCCCCTTACTATTCAAGGTCAGGCTGAGAAAACACTAGAAGGTGTCACCTCTCATTACTCAAGAAAGCCAGCGCCCAGTAGGAGGGTTCTGTGGGGTGAAGAAGGGAAAGGGTGGATCCCAGGGCTGGGCTGATTTTACAACAAGCTCCTACCTCCTAACCACTCCATGAGGTCAAGAAAATCTATTGTCATCAAGAACCCTTAGGTAAGTATGGCAGCCCACACCTGAAGCCCCAGATTTTCGAATGGCTGAAATGGGAGAGTCTCTTGAGCTGGTCTCTAACTCAACTAGGACAGCGAGACAGAAAAAAGAGAGGTATGGGGGACACGGACGATGTTAGGAATATGAACGTCTTTTCTGTCTGCTAAAAAAGCACATGGGAACAAGAGTGTAGTGGTACGGCCTGTACTTGCCAGCACTTGGGAGGCTCAGGCAGGAGAATCAGGAGTTCAAAGCCAGTCTGGGAAGCATGAGACCCTGCCTAAAACACAAAGAAGACAGCAAGCAAACAAACACAGAGGCTCCAGCCCCTGAAACCTCAAGACCAGTTTCCCTTCCTGAAAAAGCTAAGTTTGGTGTTTGAGGCTAGGTGTTGGCTCCAGGAAGATATGCAAACCACATTTTGTATTTCAGAGCCAAAACTTCTGCCCTCAAACATTCTTTGGCAAAACAGATTCTTCAGTTCTTGAAGAGACTGAAGGACAATTACTTTATAAGAAATGAGGGAAATACAAGAAGACCCAGTCTTTTCCCAGCCCTCAACCCCCAGCGCTCCCAGCCAAATGGATTCCTTATGGCTAAGAGTACTCCTTTCTGTAGGCAGAACTGTGGGCAGATTCCTGTGCCTGCTCCCCAAGCTGTGCTGAAAGATGGCAGAACTCAGCTGGCTGAGCAGAAGGACATGGAGGAGCAGCCAAGGCTCCCCAGGCCTAGCCCAGGATCATCACCAGTATCCCTGAGGTCACGGGCAGAGAAAAAAGGGGGAGCTAGCAGAGAATCTGTGCTCAAGTAGAGGAGGTGGCCAGTGTGGAATCTGAACCTCCCAACCTGGAATGAGACAGTTCTAAACCCTGACTGATGGTAAGCTTTTCAGGCAGAACCAGAGACACTTTTTCTCAATAAATATATACAATATACCCCGGGCTTGGTGATGATGGGGAGAAAATTCAGACTATTACAGTCATCCAAAGTTTTGTCCACATTCAGGCCCACAGCTGGGTTTCCAAAACCCACTACCAGTCCACCCCCCCCCCCCCCACCCCTCACCAATTCCTCTCCACTGCTGTGAGCTAGAGCTCCACAAAGCACTTCGTTGCTGTTCTGGCTCAAAAATCACTCGCTGCAACTGAGACCCGCAAAACGCAATTTTCACTGATACTGGTCCAGAAACACTTTCCTGACTCCTACTGTCCCCATCGCCTGGGAGCTCTCCAACCTGTCAATCCCAAATACCCACAGCAACTCTTCGATCCTTCAGCACATAGGCACACCTAGAGTTCTACATCTGGGCTTCTAGCTGGGGCCAGTGTTTCATACAACAGGAGAACAAGGCACCCTCTTGCAGACACCTTCTCTAACCTTTCCCCAAACTCTTTTCTCACACCTCCAAACGGACACACTGAAATGTCCAAGGCAGGAGAAGCCGCTAGAAGGATGCTTGCAGAAAGGTTTGTGAGGTGATGAATATGAAAGACCGGGCGGGAGAAGCCAGGAAGGACTTAGATTCTGGAGTGGCTTCGCCACTAACTCCCCGTGCACCTAGGCGTCTATTTTTTTTAACTCCTCTCTTAAGAGCCTCATGCACAAATTAACAAACATGAACTTTAAGCTATCTGGGCCATCATCACTCCATGATTCCAAAGTCCTGAACACTAGTTTACCTACTCATTCTTAGGCTAGTGGTTTCTGTTTTTGTTTTTAGCGTGTTGATAGTCAGTAATCGAGATTCTCTGGCGCGGGGTAAAGCTCCTCTTTAAACCAGTACAGCGTCCAGACTCCATGACCTGTCCTGTCCCTTTCTTTTCCGCTTCTCCTCGCGCTGCACCTGGCGCAGAAAGTGTACGGAATGCGATAGCTGTTCTGTTCTGTTCCCGAGCTCGCTCACACCTGCGCTGCCCGCCAGTCGGCCTTCTGGCGTCCAGGCGGCTGCAAGTGCTGCCTCGTCCACGCCGTCCTCCCCACGCCCTCCCACCCCAGCCCCGGAGCCCGCCGTCACCTGCAGCCGGAAGCGCTGCACCGCCTTATCCATGGTCTCCAGGCCAGCTCGCTGTCTCCGCCGCGCCCTGGCCGCCGCTCCCCGGGCCGTCCGGCGCCCGGTCCATCGCAGGACCACTGCCGCCGACAACAAGCAGCAGGCTAGGGCAACCCCGGAGACTCCGGACAGCGCGGTCCAGACTTGGCGCAGCACCATGATCTCCCGTAGCCCGCTGCTACCGGAGAGGAATCAGCACGCGCAACCCAACAGCTCCGCTACAAAACCCGGCCTGGATCACCCGCGATTCCGCCTGAGGGAGGGGCGGGATCAACCGCGGGCCCGCGGGGAGCGGGGAGCGCGCCGTTGCCGGGCAGCCAGAGCAAAGCTGGCAGCGCCAACGGTCAAGGTCAAGCCTGGCGGTACGCTGGGCTCGTTCCCCCGCGTCCTGGCGTTTTAAGGGAGGCGGAGCAGCTGAGCTCCGCGTGGGCGCCCTCGGAAGCACCAGGGCGGCCGGGTTTCCTGGACCAGGCCCCTGGCGGCGTCTCCGCCCTGCGCACCCCACAGTTCCAACTCCCTCCCAGAAAACGCGACCACGCCAGAGCCCCCAGAACAGGCCCGCCTAAGCAGACCCCGTGCTGCGGAGCTTAATAATAACCCCTAACGTCTCAGCATCTTTCCTGGAGAGCCAAGCGTCATGGGGTTGTGCCTAGCTGGTCGTCCATCTCTCCTGGGCTCAGGGCTAGCCCTCTGGGTGCGAGAAGTTCTGAGGCGCCCACCAGGTGGCCTCTCCTTCTCTAAGGCCCCAGACCTTGAGTCTTTTACCCTGGGAACCCTATCCCAGTCTCTTTGACCCTGGGCGTTCTCATCCACTTCACAAAGATGATTCTCATATGTTATCCTCTCCCAGACCAAGACCCTCTGAGATTTCACACCTAGGAAACAACAGTAACTTTATCTGAACCAGAGCCCTCTCTGGGGGCCTAGTGCCCATCACTGGGGACCATAAATTAGGGCCACACACATCTTAATTCTGGTTAGATTGCTTTCACAGAATTTTGTGTGATTCATCCTGTGAGAAAGGCATTTCTATTTTCACTTTTCTAGTGAAGTAACTTGAGGACAAGAGGGGTTAAATAACTTTTTTGAGTCACACAGAGTGAAGATGCAGATGACAGTCTTATTCAAAGTGGTGCTTTACCCTTTAAGCAGTACTACCCCTGCTACCTCTGGAAGTGAGGCACTGGGGTAGGGTTATCTCAGCACTCTGAATGGAAACTCTGAGTCCCTGGGTGTCTTTACCTCTGAATCTGATAGGGGTGGTAATTATGTGTACCTTAGAGGACTGTTAAGAATCTGTGAGGTTCTCATTAAAGTCCCCATCCCCCATCCCACTTTAAGCCTCCATCTTTTCTTTTTTAAACTCACTATGTAGACCAGGCTGGCCTCAAACTCAGAGATACACCTGTCTTTGCCTCACTTCTGTGTGCTGGGATTAAAGTTGTGAGCAACCACACCTGGCCTTTGTTTCTTATATGTGTGTGTGTGTGTGTGTGTGTGTGTGTGTGTGTGTGTGTGTGTTCTGGAAGAACAGTCAGTGCTCTTAACCGCTGAGCCATCTAGCCTGTTTCTTTTCTTTTTAAGGAGAAACTAAATTATTACTCTTCTTATTTTTCAGAGTAATTTAGTTGAGTGTGGTGTTGCATGCCTGCAATTCCAACAAGAATGTGCACCGCAAGACTGGTCATTCCTGAGGCCTAGTGGCCAAGTTTGTTGTCCTGCTGCCTTAGGGACTCCATTTACAAAGCATTCTTTTGTGTGTGCTGTAATCATGGCCTTCCTAAGCAGTAAACTCCCTGGGGACATATTAAATTGGATTTACTTTTCAAAAGGATGGGGGTGGGGTAAGAGCAGATTTGGAAGCCTAAACCTCAAGCTCTGGGCTGATTAGGTCTCACGCAGAGGATCTGGTGTGTGGCCTGTGTGAGAGGACCCCCCCTCCCTTCCTGGTGCTCACACTTCACTCTCTCAGATCCCGTGATTCAGTCTTCTACCGACCCCTGCTACCAAATGATGGTCCGTTGCTGAGAGACTGGGAAATAACCAATAACAAACCTGATAAAGAGCCTTGGAAAGCAGGACAGGATGTGGTGGTGCAGCCCTGTAACCCCAGCACTCACAGCCTAGAGGATTTCAAACTCAAGTTAAGCTTGAGATGTACAGCAGGATCCTGTCTTCAAACCCCCCAAACCAAACCAAACACACCCAATTAAGAGATCATGCTACATCAATCCAAAGAGACCTGGATTCTGAGTCTTGGGCTAGAAAGCCAGGAATTCAGCACACAGCACTCTGGAGTGAGACTGCCTAGTTATCCGGATCTCCTTGTGTGATTTTTCTGAGCCTGTTTCCTTAATTGTAAAATGAAGATAGCAATACCTCTCAACACTCTAGGACTTGTGTAAGAAATTAGTGGATGTAGCAGAGCCAGGACAGCCTAGCATGCAGCCACTCATGCACGTTAGCCATCATTAGTATTGTTGCTATTAGGAAAATAGAGACCCACAGACAGGGATTTTCTGGTCTGAGAGGCTCAGGAACCAGACTGCCTGGATTCAAACCCTAATTCTACTGCTTACCATGACTCAAATCACATGAACCTCTTCTGCCTCTGTTTCCTTAACCTTGAAATGGGGATTAGTATGTGCTCACAGTTTTATATTACACTAGTTAGTTCAAGGAAGGAGATTGCAACAGCATTTTACCGGTGGTAGGGTCTGATAAATGCTATCTTTTTTCTCTCAGCAGCATTGTGATGCAATCCGAGCGTTCGGGAGAAGGCAGTGTGGAGGAGGATTGCTCCGTGCAAACTGGAGCGTGAAGCCTAGAAGAGCAAATTCATGTGAAGCCCACTGGGGAGAGGTTCCAGGGCTCTACCGTGTTATCAGGCAGGTAGCTGCAAGGTGGGAACCAGAACGGCATGTCCCTGTACCCCCTTCCTTCCAGGGGGAACTGAGCTTCACACAACACTGTAGATTCTGGTGGCTTCTCCGGAACAGGATCAGAGTCCTTCTCTAATTAGCTGGTGACCTTGAGTCAAGTCAGTGAGCCACAAGTGAGGAGATATAGCCTTCAACTGAGGAGACAGGTAATAGTTTCCTAAACTCCCTTGGAGGTAGGGAGAGGCCCGTCTGCCCCGTGACAGGAAAGTCCTCAAAAGGAGGTCAGAGGTGTGTTTCCCAGAGGGTTTTGAAATCTTGTTCTGGGAGTTGGGAGCGCTCTTAACTGCTCTTGTCTCCTTCATTTCTGTGAGCTTTTCCAGGGACTACAGAGGGAAAACAGAAAGAGAGAGAGAGAAACAGCAGGTCTTGCTGCAAGGAAGAGCTGGGGTTTGTTAATTATGTGCGTGTGTGAGTGTGTGTGTGTGTGTATGTGTATATGTCTATAAAGAGAGAGAATTAGATCATTTCCCTCTTTTCTTTTTCCCCTCCAAACTCTCCTATATATCCCCCTTGCTCTCTTTCAAGCCCATGGCCTTTTTTCCCTTTAATTGTTACATACATACATACATACATATATATGTTACCTACATATATACACCCTCACATACATAAATACTAAATACATAAATACAGCTTCTCCATTTACCTAACATTATGCTTTATGTATGTATGCTTTATGTATGTTTTCAGGGCTAATCATTTGATATGCTGTCCTCTGGAGAAGACAAATTCCTTAGTTGCATATAGTCCTTTATCTAGAGTTGAGGCACTCTCCTTAGCAAGTCTACTGAGTCAACTTTGTGGCTGTGGTTTAATGTATGCTACTTCAAAAGTGATATTCTGAAACCTCATTAACAAGATATTAGAAGTTGGGCCTTTTCAGGGAAGTGCTGGGTCACGAGGACTCTGTTTTCATGCATACTTATATTTTAAAAGATATTTTAGGGCTGGAGAGATGGCTCAGCGGTTAAGAGCACTGACTGCTCTTCCTAGAGGACCCGGGTTCAATTCCCAGCACCCACATGGCAGCTCACAACTGTCTGAAAATCCAGTTCCAGGACATCTGACACCTTCACACTAAGGTACATAGAATAAAGTTAAATAAACCATGAAAAATATTTTTTAAAAAAAGATATTTTAATGTTTTTTATTATCTGTGTGAGTAACTGTCATGTGTGTGTGGGTACCGGTAGGGGCCAAAAGTGGTTGCAAGATCCTTTGGATCTGGAATCCCAGAAGGTTGCGAGCCACCGGGTATGGGTGGGTACTGGGAACCAAACTTGGTAAGCACTCTTAACTGCTGGGCCATCTGTCCAGCCCCATCTATACTAATAACCTTATAAAAAAAAAAAAGCCAAGATAAAAGAAGGAGCTAATAAACAAAGAGGTGTGAGGGCTATGGTGTAACTCTAGCAGAGGGCCTACCTGGCACACATAGGAAAGAAAGCTGCCATCTTTGCCCGTGCACTCTTCTTCCAAGCGGGAACAGCATCTGCCTCCTCCACCATTTGAGGAGGCAGCAACAAAATGCCACCTACAGGGCAAAGCAAATCCCTCCTGAAGGCCAAATCCAAGGATGCCTTGGCCCAGACTTCCCACATTCCAGAACTGTAAGAATATGCAATTTCTTCTTTGTTAACGACCCAGCCTTAGGCGTTTTGTTAGGGTAGCACAAATCCTAACACTGGAACTTCCAGTCCCACATGTAAAGTAGGACACATGCAGAACCACTGTCATGTGGGTTCCTTGCAATTCACAAGACACTGTTGGGTCTTTGAACACGGTTGTCTGGGCCCTCCTACCACCCTTCTGAGTTTGGAGTTTGACTTCTGTGCTACAGCGACTGTGAAAATGACTCCAGTAAAGCTGGGAGTGGTGGCTGTAATCTCAGCACCTGGGAGGTGGAGGCAAGAGGCCAAAATCATCCTGAACTACACAGTGATGGGCTATCTTATATAGCCCAGGCTGGTCTTAAACTAGTGATCCCCCTGTCTATGCCTCCCAAGTGGTAAGAGTACCCTGGCACTGCCATAAGAACAAGCTCAATCTAGTCTGCCAGGGAGTGAGAGGGTTCAGCAGAGCCAGAGCCCAGTTATACCTGCTCAGGCTCTGACACAGACAAACCAGCCAAACAGAACCACAGACACATGGGTGAGTCTTACCAAGCCCAAATGAGCTAGCTAACCCACAGACGCAGATGATAAAAATGTTTGTTGCAAAACACTAGCTTAAGTGGACATAGCGATCCACACCTGTACTCACAGTGATGCTCACCAGGCAGAGAGTAGAGGACCACAAGTTCAAGAACAGCTTGGGCTACATAGGAAGTTCAAGGCCAGGCTGAGCTACACAATGAGGAAGGAAAAGGGAGGGTGGGGAGGCAGACTACTCAGCCCACTGCTCA